GAAAATATGACAAATCGATAAACTGGAAATGATTCTTATTCATTAAACGGTAACTTCTCAATTAGAGAAAAAAAACACTGTAATCAGATACTCACGATAACCATTTTTGCTTTTTGATTCTGACATTTTGTTTTGACAACAAATCAAACCATGCCACCATGTAGCGCCATTCGGTCACCTGGCTGAACATCTTTTACTAATTTCGTTGTACCATTCATTAAGCTTACAGAGCATTCTCCGTGAAAACATCCACCAGCAGGATTATAGAACACAGCCATATCTACTGGAGCACTAGTTGTTAATGAAGATATAGGAGCAGGTAAGCTACAAAATATGTCATCCATTTCATCGCGTATCTTCGAGAAAAGTACGCCTTTTCCATAATGTTGAACACCTGGATCCTTGAAATTATTACAGACTTGAAGAAGATGAGCATCTGAAATGTAACAAATCAGTTTGATGTGTTATTTTTTTTTCTATTCTACAATAAAACTAACCTGTTAAACTAGGTAAATAATGTACCCCCCATTTGTCGAACCATTCTTGTTTTCCTATAGCTTCCTGTACTTGTCCTGTCAAATCCGCTAATAAGTCTTTGATAAAATCATCATTTTCATTTGCAATTAGTTTCATATTTTCCTTGAATTCTTGTAACTCATTCATCACTTGATCACGTTACTTCTTTGACTGTTCTGGATTTGTTTTTATTGATTTCATATTTTCTAATGCTGTTCTAACATAATGAACGAATTCTAGACGCATTTTATGTCGAATTATTAAGTTAAGATTAGCCTGTTGCAGATCATTCATTAAATCAAAATTGATAGATTTCTTTATGTTTTTTGCGTTTTGATAGATTAACGTGAATCGGTATTCTTTGATAAATTTAGAAGAAATTGGAATCAGTAAATCTTTACTTTGACCATATGTAATCGAACCCAAATCAATATAAGTGCCTTCTTTAGTCTTATGTGTTGAATACCAGCGCGTGTAGTCAGAATTTTGAACATCTTGATCATGGATCAATAACTGTAATACAAAAGATCGTCAGTCCTTAATCATTTTCTTTTCTGAATTACAATGCAACGAATTCAAAAACAATATATTATCTGTACGTTGGTTGCTGCTGTAGTGAGCAATGTTGATATAGCATTCACAAATATTGTGCCTACAGATGATCCATCAGGAATAAATGCATATGAACCGGAATTTCCCAACATAGCAATATCTTCAAGAAGTTTGCTATCCAGTATATATCCAAAGCCAAAAGTGTTAATAGCACATAAAAAGTTGAGATTCTTCTTGAGTTTTTCTAGTGATACCAAATGACCATCGGATGGTATTTTAGTAGGGCAACCATGAGTCAAAAGAAACAGAGCTGAGATACTTTTTATTGAATCTTGTTGTTTAGAAAGATGTTCAAGACCGGTTCGAAGATCATCCCATAAGTTTGTATTGCCTGAGCTCTAGATGAAATTTTAGAAATATTTAAAAATGTTAAACGAATATTCTACGCTCATTGCATAGACGTAAGCTAAAGAGTTCTTTTACTCAATACTTCCTGACCGAAGTAAAATTTGAAAAAACAACAAACAAGTTGATAGATATCAAAGAATTCTATGAAATTTGAGAGCATGCTGAATTCCTTTCTGTTGAAATATGTGATAATATAACCAAACTTCTATTTATATAAGATAGTCTATCTGAGATGCTGTAATTATGACTGTATATATTATACATATATGCACTACTAGATTAATTCATACATATTATGGAATAATCTACAAACCCGTAAATTTTCAACTGTTTTTAAGGCTTTTTTTCTTTCCCCCATTATCCATCTTCATTTGGTTGAGTACAATATTAGCATGGCTAGCAAACGATACGATTGATAGCCAGTCTTCATCACCGAAAGAATTTATTATTGTTTTCAAGGAATGTTTAACCAAATCTAATTGTGATCAACCATACTTCTCATTTTTATCATTTTGAATTTCGGCTGCATCTGACATGGAACCTGATGTATCAACTACACAACAAGTATTACATGAAGAGAGCTTTTCGTCTTGCGAAGGTTGAATTGAAATATGAACAAAGTCTTCGGTCAGGCTTCTTGATATCGTAATTTCAGATGAAGATGGTTTCGTCGTGCTAGAAGTTGAATGAATACTGGGTTGGACCGAACATGCCATCTTTGATGTTGAATTCGTTTGTGATTGACTCGTCAAATAAATATTTCTTTACTCTTCTATATATGAATGAATGGAGTACACTCTGTGCTATATATATATAAGGAATCATACGTGACGCAAAAAGTAGTCATGCTGTGTGACATCATATTTACTTCTTCAGACAGATGACGGTAGGAAAAAAATAGAGAAATCATGTGACACAATATACAAAGGAAGATAAATAATATGATTCATGTCGGTTATGTTCTTCCACAAGAAGTTGCAATTCTCTAAGTGGGAATGAATATTTTGAAATCAAACAGAAGGTTCCATCCTGAGTGCTAATGAATGGGTATTTCTAACTACATTTGCCAAGAGACTAAACCAACAATAAAACTGTATGAAATATTTTCGACATATGTTCTAGTTAGTATGAGTATGATAGAATTCTGAAAGTAATATTTCATAAGGAATTTTTATCTACGAAAGTGTGGGTGTGGATATAGATATATTGTCCTCGTTCTACACGCATCTCAGATGCACATCCTGACTTTATGCTGGTTTGGTCTAGGAAAAACTCTACTGACTGCAACACTGCCAGAGACGTGAGATCATTCAGAAACGTAAAATTGTATGTTCTGTTGCGAGCCTCTCTTGCTTTTTCGTCATATAATCACTATGAGAAATGAGTCACATTTTTATGTTAGAAACAGAGCTTTGTTTTACATTGCAATATTAGCTGTAATTCAGAGCGATTCTTCAAAAGATAGAAAAACAATAATATTCAATTTCAATATGAAAAAGCAGGACCTTTATACTCCAAAAGTACAGAATTCACTTTTTTCTCTTTACAAATATCCTATTTCATATAAATGCTCCTGATAAAATTGACATAAGAAAAATAATCGGGCCCAGCCAGGAATTGAACCTGGGCCGCTCGTATCCTAAACGAACATTCTACCACTAGAATACTGGGCCTCTTGCAATATAAATCTTAAAAAAATTCAGTTTTTCAAGTTTTGTAGATTCAATACAAACTGGTCTAGTCAGACCAAGAGAGAAAAGAAAGCGACACTTTGTACTTCAGCATATTTCACTGTACTTTACTGTACCTCAAAAGTTTTTTGTAGTAGATGAAATCTTGCCTTTCCTCCTTGTGCATACGTCATAGAATTCTTTCGAAGTTTCTCATGAAGATAGAATTTATCATGATGCACTGCGATTAAAACATATATTGTAAGAGCAAATCTCGTATGAATTCCCTTGTTTCTAAAACTTGAGGCTTAATGTTCAAATGGTAAGATATTCGCTTCGGAAGCGAGTGACTCAGGTTCGATTCCTGATTAGGCCCATCATTTTTTCAATCTTTACATACGAAATCAGACTTGGTGGATAGATTCTTTTCACTGATTATATTGTTACCAGATATGAAGAAGAATACAGTTACACCATGTACAGGTATAGAACTGCACATATATATTCATATTCTCATAGAAGAAAGAAAAACTTCTTCTCTTAAGTCTTGCTAGTCCGTATAGCAGGTGTTTTACGTTAAGTCACCAGGTCAGCTATAAAAAGCATCTGCTATTATTTTGTAAATATTTGACCAAGGGCAACAACGTGTTTAATGACGAAATTTGAAAACACTGAAAATTTATTTAAATCATGTAAAATTACATTTTTGTGTTTGCTGTTATTGTAAAAGGCTACACGAGAAAAAAAAGGGCCCAGCCAGGAATCGAACCTGGGCCGCTCGCTTCCAAAGCGAACATTCTGCCACTAGAATACTGAGCCTTGTGTGTGTAACCTGCTTAAAGCTTCATCGTTGACATTCTTATCGTAATAAGTTTTAAGTGTTTTGTTTTGCCAAATAAAATCAACATTTACAACAGGAGTGGATGTGTGAAAACAAAAAACCAACGAAACTATATGAGAAACTATCAATATGCTTATTTAATGAGGCTAGTAGAAATAGTTAATGAGTATTTCACTAGAACAATACTTGTATCTTGCTACTGTGATCAAACGAATATAGGAATGTTAGTCACACACTTGTTCTACCATCCAATCTATAATCACAATGATTTCTTTTTATTCAAAGAAGAAACATAGTACCCTAACGTAAGAGTGTGGATGTTCGAATTGCATGCACTCTTAGAATCGTCAGGAAATTGGTTTAAGTTTCTGAGTATGCATTTGATTTGGGTGTGGGTGTGGGTGTGGGTGTGGGTGTGGGTGTGGGTGTGGGTGTGGGTGTGGGGTGTGGGGTGTGGGTGTGAGTGTGTGTAGGGTGTGGGTGTGGGTGTGGGTGTGGGTGTGGGGTGTGGGTGTGAGTGTGTGTAGGGTGTGGGTGTGGGTGTGTGTCTTCTCTTCTCTCCTACTCATGCTCACACACCACCCCACACCCACCCACACCCACACCCACACCCTTAGTTGCAGAAGAGTTTATTTGAAAAGACAATAGTAGAAAATATTGGAATATCAAGTCGATCAAGTTATACTGCATATAACAATCGAGACGAGTATTTTTTTTTTCGACCTTTGAAGATACATTGAAAGATAATTTCTTTAATTAATATTTATGTAAAAGGATATTCTTGAATTGATAATAATGGTTCTCTTATCGACTTTTCGGTTGCTTTTATGATGCATTGTAGTTAGAAAAAGACTGAATCGATTTTTCTATAAAAATAAAAAGAACACTATTATTACATTGATCTATTGTGTAAGCTTTTAAATTTCAAAGGTCATAATTACGCTATCTTTTGGTTTGGGCAGTATAAAAGTCGTCGTATCAAAAATCAAAATGATTTTCTCAATATTCTGATTCTGACTGCAGATTACAGAGTGAGAATGAGGGTAATATTCCTATTTTCCTAAGTACTTGTCGCACAAAGTGCGAACTCTCTTATACCCTTATCATTGATTCACCGATTTTCATTTATTGCAAAGAAAAATGGAAATTAGTACTTCAGGAAAAGTATGCACCATTAGAATACGTAAATTCGATTTACTGACATTAATCCATCCAATTATTCATGATTCAGACATATGGGTAAAATTCTGTTAGCTGATGAACAAGACCAACATTATTATAGGTAATTATCACATATGCATAATCAAATGTCAGCGATTTTACACGAAAAATATGGATTTTATTACAATTTGCAGCCACATAAGTACCACATTTATATTTAAACTTATAGTTCTCTGGGCCGATTGTAATTTTGGCATTACAATGAATAAGTCATTTAATTGCAGATTTATGAAATGTTGGCTGTTCTACAGACTAATGGATATTATACCATCTATCACTCTCGATTATATATTTTCTATGAGAAAATACCAAATAGTAAAGGTAATTTATTCTTAATTTATTTACCAGCCTAATTACTGCAAAAAATATTCTATTTCAAGATACATATTCACTTCACCGATATAAGAATTGTATGTAATTTTCGTGATAATAATGATTACAGAGACTATAACATTTCTTTCTAAGATAGAAATGGTTTAATTTATTGAAATTGCTGCTGACTCATATTTATAAATATAATGTCAATCAAAAACTCAAGATCAATACCATTTTAAGCTATTGAAAATCGACAAATTCATATTTTAAAATTCTTTCTATAATAATTATTCTCAGTTGTCACCTAGTTTCGATAGATTTATGCCAGCAGCACACATTTTCTCTATTCATTCGTTCTTTCTTTTTTCATGATGCCAAGTAACAATTATTTGTCATAGTTTTAACTTTCGATATTTCTTTCCTTTTAAAAATGTTTGGTTGATGAATGACCATAATTACCTTCATAACAAAAAAAATCAGAAAAAAAGAACAGAATTACATGTCGGTAAATAATAAGAAAAATTAAAAACATTCGAGATCATTATAGACTAAAACGCTACATCTAATAGCAAAGAGTGTCAAGTATGTAGATGGGAGCAATACATGCAATAGAATCTAAATTGGCAGATGCTAGATCTGCACATGATACTAATAATCTTGAAACATTGTCATTAATATGGCTCGATGACTCAATCAAAAACAGCAAAGAAAGTCTTATAATTGAACAAAAACTTCGTACGGTAATCCATCATGTAACAATCTTTCACGATACTCGTAAATTTAGGAAACACATAAAATCAATGTCGTCAGACGATAGAATAATATTAATCGTGACTTGTCATTTGGCTCCAGAGGTGATACCACGAATTCATCAATATAGACAAGTCAGTGCAATTTATGTATATACAAAAGACCAAGGAAAACATAACGAATTAATAAAAAACTTTGCAAAAGTAAGTCTAACTTTGTATTCGCTTATTAAAAATTGTTATAGATATCAGTTTTGATCGAACTAGCACTGTCAGATTGGTCTTATTTACGTTGAATATGCTGATACGTCCTTAAGAGAAATAAAAAATCTAAAGAAAAAATTATCAACAAAACGTTTGCTAGTACGTTTTATGTTTAGATCAAGGGTGTTAGCGAAAATTTGGATATTATATTGTCGAAAATCCAATCAGATCAAGAGAATTTAAGGTTTAAAGTTGATGAGCCACTTTCAGCCAGTATTTTAGCACTAAATAGTAATCAAAATCAATCAACAACTGAACTTAATGGTCAATTCATTCATTCAGAAGTATCAATGGATGTTCTTCTACGAATGAAATCAAAACCAACGGACAAAAACGAGTTGATCAAACTATATAAAGAAACGTACAAAGACAATATGAAAGAATTAACAATGATCGATGAATTCGAACAAAATTACTCACCTGATCGAGCTCTCTGGTGGTATACACGTGACTCATTTCTTTATCGTTTACTAAACAAAGCTCTTCGTGTTCAAAATATTGATATGATTTTTCTCTTTCGATTTTTTATTCGCGATATTGAACAACAACTTAAACAACATAAATGTACAGCACCCATACGTGTATATCGAGGTCAAGTGATGTCAAACGAAGAACTAAAAGTTTTAAGAAACTCTATTGGACATTTCATCTCCATGAAATCATTTCTTTCGACGAGTATTGAACAGAAACAAGCACTTAAATTTCTTAATGCTACTACTATCACAGACGATTTGCAACGTGTTTTGATTGTGATCGATGCTGATCCTCGAATTGATGGTGTCAAGCCTTTTGCCAACATTACCGTCCACAGCTATTTCCCAGGCGAAAAAGAAGTACTTATGATGTTAGGGTCCATTTTTCAACTGGTCGCGATATTCGAAGTGATGATAAAATATGGCTTATGTGAATGAAATTATGCAGTGATAAGCAACACACATGGAAGCCTGTCTTTGAACATATGAAAAATCAACACGGTAGAGATGATGGACAGACTGATCTTCTTTCATTTGGTTCTGTACTCAGTAATATGGGTAAATATGATGATGCTGAAAGATATTTCCATCGTTTACTCAATGAACTTCCTCATGACGATGATGGCATTGCTCATTGCTATCATAATCTTGGCGAGATTGCTCTTGAAAAGGGTGACTATGAAGTTAGCCTCGAATGGTTCTATAAATCGCTCGAAATCAAAATGCAAACACTTGAATTGCATCATCCTGACCTTGCCGAGAGTCACAACAGTATAGGAATAGTTTATCGAAAGAAAGGTGATTAAAAACGGGAACTAGAATCGTTCACTAAGGCATTGATGATTTTTCAGCAAGCATTTCATCAAGATAACATAAAAATAGCACAATGTTATAACAATATGGGTAATATCTACCAGTTAGAGACGAAGTACTTGGATGCATTGAAGTATTATGACAAAGCGCTAGGGATTCAACAACGTGAACTATGTTGTGACCATCCAGACTTGGGCTCGACATATAGCAATATTGGCAGTGTTTATGAGTGCCTTGGCCATCATGATCGTGCATTAAAAAATTAGAAAATGTCACTCGAAATTCTTCAAAAATCGCTTCCTTGTCAGCATCCATTGATTGCAATGGCGCTCAAAAATATGGGCATAGCCTACGAGAACAAGGGTGAGTTACAACAAGCATTGGTACATTTTGAAAAAGCAAATGCTATTCATCGGCAAGTATTACCTTCAACACATCCAGATATTCGTCTTATTGAGGAAGACATGCAACGCATAAAAGATCAAATGAACATATATTCGTAACTTATCTTGACGGATTTGCGACTAATAATTTCTCGAGGGTCTTTTTCTTAGAAAATAAAGTTAACACTCATTCTACACCTACACCTTGATGATTCTAAGTGATAGATATTTGTTTAGGAATGGTAGATTATGTCATAAGCACAACTATTTTCTATCGACACTGCGTAAATGAGTTAGAGAATATTTTACTAGAATATGTGACATAAAGATAATATGGATGGAAAGTAATCATTAAATAAACCAAATGTCATTTAGTTCAGTTACTAGTGTGTAAATGAAACAGCAAGTGATTTGATTTGAACAGAAAAATACCAAAAATCTATATATATAATGTTCAGCGTCTGTGTGTGTCTGTGTCGGGTTAAAGGTCAAAAAGACTGTAAGGGTGTGGGTGTGGGTGGGGTGTGGGTGTGGGTGTGGTGTGGGTGTGGGTGTGGGCGGTGTGGGTGTGGGTGTGGGTGTAGGTGAGGGTGTGGGTGAGGGTATGGGTACGAGTCTCCGATGTCCTTAGTTAAACCCACACCCACACCCTCGCTGCTCGGTTTTATACAACATAAAAATCCTCGGCAGGTTTTAACTCTAATCTGTTTCCACCTGAATAACAACATTGATGGCATTCAAAAAATCTTCGAAGCCTAGAGAAAATTTTCTATCAAATGAGTCTTTAATGTTTTATGAAATGCCCTGAAAACAGAAAGACATTTTCATCTATTCTTTATGCTTCATCTGTTCGACAACATTCAATCGAAAAATATCTTTATTCTACATTGTTAGCTATGTTATTATATAGATTTGTCGATCTCCGATCTATGGTGTATTGGTTTCTATATTTGATGTAAGTTTGTTTGATGAAAATCTGATATACATATAAAATAAAATTCTTCGTTATCAATACCTTTGATCAAGATAATCTAATAATGGTTTTGTAACAAGCATAGTTTCAGCTCCTTTTTGTTGTTCACTAGTATTTCCTTCTTTAATTTGTTGTAATTGTTTATAAAATTCTTCAATATATTGTCTTATTTTTAGTTCAATATTTTTAACAAAAGTTGTACTTAATTCATCAAGAACATCATTTAATTGTTTTTGTAAATCATTCAGCATTGTTTCAGTTTCATCATCTAATTGTGTACCACCCATTAATTCCTGTAATTGTTCTAAATTTAATATTAATTGTTGAATATTATTCATTAATATTAAACATATTCTATCTTGTTCATCAGCATGTTCAAATATTCGATGCATTGCATTTGCATAATCACGTAAAACTTGTGATATAGTTAGAAAAAAACATTTTATGTATTTTTCTATAACAATTGGATCATGAAGATCAAGAGTTTTTATTGTATCATGACTTTGATTTAATTGTGTAAATACATTAATAATTGATGAAGAAAATAAACAACCTTCAGATGTTTGTTGAAGCTAAATAATGCGTATAAAAGTATTTCTTTGATATAGATTATAATCTATTAATTTACTCCTGTGTGTTGATCTTTTTTAATTGCAGTATGAAGATATTCCATAGATATATCATTATTTTCATTAAGCCATTGCATTATAAAAGGCTCAAAAATAAAATTATTTGATCAATTCATAAAGAATAAAGAACAATTGGAAAAAACGAAAGAAAGATCACGCAGGCAAAAATGAAGCAAACAGCCTCATGTATGGATCTCCTTTTGAAATAGATTATCGGAAAAAGTCATTGGGTATATAAGTAATAATTATGAAAAATAAGAAACATGAATAATATTTAAAAAATCAATTACTTTGGATATCCTGGAATAATATTTTTCGCTTCAGGAATTATTTTAACTGATGTATCATAGAATCGTTTAACCATAAAATGAAGATTCATATAATGAGCACTTTTCACCTCACGACATTCTGGCGGAATTCGAGCATGTTCTCAAAATAACTAACATATTTATATATATTATATTGACTTCTCTTTTGTTTTTATGAATATTTAACTAATGGTAAACTATCTTTAAAAAAACGAAGATTATATTATGTATTTAGTAAATATGTAGGCATAAATAAAAGATATGTTTATAATTTATTTTCTAGGACTTATCAAAAATACTTTTTTTTTTAATGATATAATTTTAGTCGAGACATTTATAATATTTATTAAATAATATATGATAGACTTCGAAAGTTTGTTTCTAATACCATCCAGTTTTCAATCCTGAATGATGTTAAAGTATCTGAAATGCTTTTCTCCGATCTCTGTACTAAATATTTTAAGCTTTAGATGATTATTCTGACGAATTCATAGAAGACACTGATTTAGTCTTACCTTTTCCAGTTCGCTGATGTTAACCAAAATGTTTTAGAATACAATAGAAACTTAAAATTTTAATTGTTGATTGTTATTCTCTTTTTATAATCCAGATAGAAAATTTACTGACGTAAATGGAAATAGGATATCATAAAAATGTCCATGACAAAAAATGTTTTTTTCAACAAATGCGATCGGAAAGTTTTATATTGAATAATAATCATATGTCATGACCAATAAATAATGAAGAAAGCAAGTTCTCATATGTAGACAATAATGTTAATTTAACTATATAAATAAAAAACTCACAACCTCGAGAAATCTAATTCTGATTGGTATTAGTTACAACACTATCGATAAATGATTTCATTGTTCGTAGATAATTTCCATCACAGAATATGAAAATGAGTCAAAAACGAAGGAAAATCGACGACTTGTTGAAACAATCTTATGAAGACCTTGCACATATTTTTAAACGAAGTGGTAACATTTACTGAACAAGTACAATTTCATTCAACCTATTTTAAATTCTTTCATTTAACTTAATATCAATCAAATCGAAATTCTCTCGTTGTATTCTTTCGATTTTTCAGTAGGAACGTGTAGTTTCCTTAAAATTTTTCATAGAAGTTCCTTTTAATCGTTAGAAATATTCATCTTGAAAAAAGTTTCTTCAATATTCGAATTTTCTTAATCAATTACGTTCTTCTTAAATCGATTGAATATGTTTCATCTTTCTTTGTTCAACTCTAGTTTAAATTTCTTTTGAATAAATATACGCCTTTCTTGTCGAAAGAATCGATTGATTTGGTGGATATACCTATTACATTAATCGATCATGATTCAACCCATCCCAGAAAAAACAGTCAGACTTTCAGATCTTCTATAATCCTATTAGATCAGATAAAAATCTAATAAAAATCCCTAAGTCTAATTTGCCAGATCAAATCGTACTATAACATTTAAGTAAGATTTGATCAAAATCCTATAGTATGATTTGATATGGCACTTCAGATTTTAAGTTTCTTGTACAATTTTCATTTAATTTTACAAGATTTACATCTGATGTTTTTACCTGGGGAACGATGAAGATTCTTCATTGATATCGTATAAGTAGAGTTCGCACTTTTTTGAAATAAAAGAGATATTACAAATGCAATTAAAAATTTTCTCGGATGTTACCATTATTTATACTGCTTTTAGCTTAGAAATTTTCCTTATAAAAAATAATTTTCATATATGCACTGCAAGGAAACCTTTCGTTTATTCATAGTATTAAACCAGTAAAAGATTCAATTTTATCAATAATTAATACGTCTTTTTCTTCAGGTAACATAAAAATCAATTTTTAGCAAGAAGCAAGAAAAAATCTTAAAGGACTTAGTTATGTAGTATTCAGATTTCGATGAATGGTTTTGGTTCTGAACATTCTACGAAACTGTCGGACTCTCCAAAAAGAGTTTGGATTTTCATGCTTGATGCATTTTGATTCTAAATAAAATCTAGAAATTTTCTATTGATTTATCAGAAAATTGAGTATTATAATATTATAAAGTTGAACTAAAATATTCTTCGTATAAACTTTTTTTTGAATTTCAAAAATAAGATTTTCGTTTGGAAAAATGGTATAATTTTGTTGGTAAATATACATTTTAAAAAAATTGAATGCTATCGAAATTTTCGTTATATTCATGAGAAAATGTCATCAACATCAAAATATTCATATAGTTGATTAGTAATTACGCACATATATGTTAGATATACTTCTTTGCTTGGTTGTTCTTATCTGTGTCGTTAAGTCGAAATCATTATTACTTCTCACTGCTTTCATTTCAGTCTAATACAATATACTATAATAATAGTTCGAAATCTGACAGTGATGCCGTATTGAAAGCAAACTACTGAATTAATTTCATCACCATTTGCTTTTCTATGATCCTATAAAAGAAAAAAGCAAATATATGTCAATCATAGAATAGAAGAATTCGTTTTGTTTTTCTTATATTGAAAGTGTGAAATCTTGTATTATTAATGAGTCTTATTCCGAATTCATTTAGAGGTCTCCAGTCAATAAGAATATAGATGATTACATAGTATATGTTTTGCTAAGGCTAGTTAATTGTCTTTGAAATTTTTTTCTTGTGATTATCTGTTCACTATCTTTGAGTATTCAAGGGTACCGAATAGAGATAATAATAAAAACATTTCAAAGAATGAAAGCTGCTGTTAGCAATATAAATTATGTTTAGAATAGCCAAATATAAACTTTGGCTGGTTACTGACATTGAAGGTATTGGAATTTGATACTTTATGAGAAATATCTATGTTTAGTTTCAGTTAAATAATCAATTCTATATTTATTCATTTTTCAGAATATTGTAATCGAATGTAGCTGTCAATTGACGTGTTTGCAAAAGATATTCTTCAAAATCTATACAATATTCTTGTAGAAGATTAATAAGTGTCCTTTTTTTTCTTTCTAAGAAAAAACTATCTAAAACATAACTAATGATTGTTTATAATCAAATAAACATCAAAATAAAAAAAAAGTGTTTCTCTGTCATGAATGATATTTGAAGTTAGCTAAATAAAATATATTCTATTTCTTAAAAATCATGCATTATTTACTTTGCATAGTTACAACAACACAGTATCAAAAGTCAACTATTTAATTTAAATTTTGCTCAGAAAAAAAATTTGCTTTTTTCTATTGGCTTTGTAATAAAAAAATACAAAAAATTTACAACACACACTGTCTTGAATTGTCGAAGTTTTTTTAGATATTTGAGTTGTGAATAAAACAACAACAAGAAATTCTGGTAATCTACTTCACTATTTGTGTATTAAGTAGTCCGACATCTAAAACACTTCGATTTATTTATTCTCTTTACATACTATATCTCTCAATTTTTCTTTTCGGTTGAGAATTCATTCAAATTTACATTTATCACTAAAATATGCATTTAGTATGTCATTTATATTGATTTTATTTTTTCTGTTTAATACAAGAAGAGGCCAAGCATCAAGAAAAGATTCACTATTTAAAATGAATTTATCTTACAAAAATTATCAGATATGTATTCATTGCGTTATTCTACTAATTGTTAAATTTAATTTTCGATTAGATATAAAAGAATTGGTGAATGAATCTTACTACCAATAGAGAAAATCGATATTACAGAAACAATAGTAGCAGAGTAGAACAATAAAACTTTTTGAATCAGGATTCTTTGATTCGTAGAATCGAAATAACATGGAATATGTGGATAGGAATGAACTGTATGATTCGAAACATATGTGGTAGTTGTTCGTAGGTATGGATGCTGTGCCGATATTGACGACACGGTTCGATGATTCTCCTTCTTTCTCTGTCTTTTCTCTTTCCGTTGTTCTAATATATCTCTCTCCTGTCTCTCTTCTATCTCTCTCCTATATATATGTGTGTTATGTATGAAGTTG